AGAAAGTTCAAGGCCAGTCCAAACTACATAGTGACAGCCTGTCAGAGAGAGAGAGAGAGAGAGAGAGAGAGAGAAATGTTGGCCATCAGCTTCTATATTTCTTCCTGTCCATCAATAATAACTGGAAATGTATTAATTAATTACAATAAATTCACATTACAACAAATAAAGGTAGATGTCCTGAGATTGATATTGCAAACTTCAATGTTATTCTAACCTTCTCAAAGAAGGACATTAGTAAAATGGTCAACAAGCCCTCAACTCCTTTTTAGCAGCACATATTTATTAACCATTGCCTTCTGCGTGATACTGGTGACAGAGACACAAAACTGCACTTAGACCAAGATTACAAAAGAAGTCCTCAGTGATTATAATCCAGGGCAGAAGGTTGCATTTATTCCCTCATAATAACAGCTCAAGAGGGTTTCTTGCCCTTGGAAAGATGCAGAAAGATAGTATTGACAATCCTGCACTCTTCTGCTAGTTTCTGGAACCAGATAAAAGGAATTGGGCTTCCTCTGGCGAAAGTAAGAAAGAATAGTTTCTCAGTGGAGACAAGTCGAGCTCTCTGTCCTTGGAGCAAAATGGAGCTGAAATGATGTAGTCACCCCCTTATCCCAAGGCTGTAAGAGCAAAACTCCTAGGATCAGTAAATCCATTGTAGGGCAAGAATAAAGAGGCATCTAGGACCTACAGTGTGGAGATTCCTAAACCAAAGATCGACAGGCACCTGTGTGGAGAAGAGCCTTCCATCTCTTCCCCAAGTCTCCTCGGACAGCGCCCTCCCTGTCGAAGAGAGGGGCAGGGACAACCGGTGTGGTACCATGCAGGTGAGTCAGAGTCCTTGTGGGGATTGCTATGAATCCTGTGGATGAGAAAGCTATGAGGAGAGGGCTGAGGATTTAGCTCAGTGGTTCTGTTGCCTGCCTTGCAAGCGCAAGGTCCCGAGTTTGATCCCATGTACCCCCTGCCAAAAGAAAGTTGTGAGGTTTCCCTTAGGGATCCTAGAAGTTGAATCCCTCAGGAATGCTAGAGGTCCTAGGGATCTCTTTCGAGTACTGCTATGTTTCATCCTTTGGAATATCCAGTATGTTTTTCCATGGATTCCTTATACTATTTGGGATGAGGCTTTTGCCTTGCAACCCAAATTTCCTAATTAACAAAGGGTCTCACTGTTGCTTTTTTCCTTGGTCTAAATTACTACGGCGATGGGATAATCAAGGTCATACAGAAGTCTGGCCTGATCCACTCTTCCCACCTAGTTTTCCAGAGCTCGTGGAAAGCTGTGATTCTCTCCCCTCAGTTCCTTTCCTAGAAGTTCACCGTATGACCCTTTGCCTTTACTGAAAATGGCATTCAGACATTTCTACAGAGTTTTTGCAACAGCGGAGTGGTGCTAATCCAACACTTCTTGGAAAGGTAGTGCTACCATTCAAACAAAAAATTGGCAAAGCATATTGCAATAAAAGAAGTCTCCTTCTTGAAGTTCTTCATTCCTAACTTCTAAACTGTGGGCAGGACCCCCCACCACGCATTCTTTAAAAGCTAATAGAAAATCTTCATGTTCATGAAAAGAATCTGATTGTTGCTTATGTGCTACCCCTAAAAAGTTCTCTGACCTGCCCGTCTACTCCTTACCTGTGTCTGATATCCTGTGCAGTGTTAACAGGGATCCCTCAAATGCTAAGAAGCATGCATAGGAAGGGAGGATGTTCAATTTAAATGAAAACTGATAAAATCTTATCTTGTTTTCAAGTTTAGCCTGGGCCTCCATCTAACTTCTTTTTCAGGAATACTTGGCCTAACTCCTTAAAATTGTTTAGAATATATTTTCCTTAGTGCCTGAAGTATACTCAGTAAACTTCCTTCTTCTAATTAAAATTATTTTCCTTATTAAAATAATGTGTAGATAAAATTTTTTGAAATAGAATATTTCCTAACTATTCCCATTTTTCTATTTCCTTTTATCTGCCTTCTACTTTTTTTTTCTCGTTGAGTTTATTGGTACATTTTAGGTATACAGTACAGTTACATTCATTATTGGGATCTTGTACCTTTACATGACAGATTGCCTTCTCCTACTTCTATGAAAAAAGGGATAGAAAAAAGTTTTAAGAAAGAAAAAAGGCATAGAGCAGAAAAAGAACAAGATTTTTGGAAAGCAACTTCTCCAGGAAACTATGGGAAATCTGAAAGAATTTTTGAACAGGGTTGAACTAGATTGGTACCTATGTTGGCCAGGCAGTGGCTCGTTCACAAAACAAGGAAGGTTACCAGCAGGAGCAATAGCTTCCAAATTGTCACTCAGTCTGCACGATCATGTACCAGTCTAGCTTGGATATCCTGGACTACAGAATTTCAAAAATCAGAAACAAAAACAAGCACAGTCCTGAGCTTTAGTAGTTAAGAGAAACAAACAAGCAAACAAACAAAAATTCTCCCTGATGATTCTAAATATGTAGCAAAAGAAAACAAAAAGCACTTGCCTATATAGAATCCAAATAAACGCTGTCCAATTACTGTAATTGGACAGTTAATTTTGGCTATAAACGAAATGGTCCTCAGCAATGCCAAGGACATCTAGTTTCCTCTCTGCAAGCAGATGACTGCAGCCATCAAGTATGAAGTATTTACTGTACATCAGGCTGTACTATGCACTTCATGTACTTTATCTCTAATCTTTAGAGAATAGGGAGAATAGGAGAATAGGGCTGGACCCATTTTCAGCACACAAAATGCAGAAGTGGGAAGGTCAAGGGATTTGCCCAAAACCTGGCATAGCAATTAAGGGACACAGCAGAATCCATAGCCAAGCTGGTCTTCTCTCCACTAGAAAGCTGGTTCCATCTCTTTGTGTTACTGCTGTCCTGACTTTGGTGCTGGCATAATCCAAAGTGCTTTTAGTTGGTACCCTTAAAATGTCCCACCCACTCTGCAAATATATGACTAGTGAAAACTCAAGAGAAATACTTACATATTTAAAGCAAGCTTCCTTCTTTTCGGACATCTCCAAATACTTATTATTTTGTTAAATTTCTCTAATTCTAGACAGCAGAAGCAAGTGTCAAGAGCTTTTACTAGACCACCTTCAAAAAGCAAGTTGGTTTTGCCTAGTTTGGCTTGATGTAATAACATCTGACTGCTAGAATACACAAAGCATTTCTATATGGTGTCTGAAAAGATGGGTTTTTATTTCTAACAATATATACTTATTTGTCATTTGGTACCTGTAAAAACTACATAAAATGTTACAGTTAACCTCAGGTAAGTACTATTTGGTTTGGCTTGTACCTCCTCACAACATTTACATTTTACACCTTATGTTAATAACAGCACCAAATAAATACTTGCTGAATTAATATGTAAATATAGACAGGGGAGAGACTCTAATATCAAGATTAGGAAAAGAGCTACTTCAAACATAAAATAAATCCTACAATCATTTTTTTTTTAACTACAGAGGGTAAAATTTACAATCTATGGCATATAGATCTTAAACATTATCAAAAAGGCTGTTAGACTATGCTATTTTATTAAATTTTCAGGTGTATGGAAATAGCATTGGGTTTTCCTACAGCAAAGAAAACTGTTACAATTTCAGAATTACATCTTATTTGATCATTTCCTTCTATTATTCTCAAGCACATTGAATTTATCAAAGCAAACAGAACACTGCACTTACGACACAGTTTGTTTTAGACACATCAGTGATCACAGCCACATTATATGTTTATGATTCTGAGGATTTTGCTTTCATTCATTCATTCATTGATTATATTGTGCTCTTCCCAATACTAGGTCCATAATGAGTCCATAAAATAAGAAACCGCTGGCTAATACCACCTAGTACTCCCATGGTGTGAACACTTGCAGATCAAAAGATTCATCTTATTCCTGTCTGTGGCCCAGAGCTTAGCACAAACTTGAGAAATATGTGATGGATTGAATTGCACTTTAGAGATCATCAGGTTCAACCCTCATTTCCTTGATGATGACCTACCAAGATATTTTCCAAGGTGCTAGAGGTACTGGTAGAAGTAAATGTAAAAATTGGATTTCCCTTGTTCCAATCAAAAATTCATGTAAAATCCATTGTATGACTGACATCAAATTAATTCAAATGTAGTGGGTTTTCTTTTAGCTCCGAAGTCCACACGTCTTTAGAACCAAGTCTTTTCAAAGATCCATTTTACTGGTCAAACACTATATTTGCATGTGAATGCTCCTCCTCCTGATTCAGTATTGTGAGTTTTCCAATCAAGGCATTATAAGAAAGACGAACAATTAATTATACTGCTCGATATTGTAGTCACACATTTTAAGAAGTCTTACACAGATAAGTAGGTGCTGAATGAATTCCATTTTATGCAATTATACAATAAGCAAAACAAATATTATTAGGGAAACCTGGATCTGTGATTACTTAGGCGTTGAAAGCGGGCCAGGGGATTCACTAAGAGACGTGAAAGAATCTCCTGATGATGGGAATATTCTCTATTTTGATAGGAGTTTGAGTCACACAAGAGCTCGCCTCTGTTAAAGCTCGATACATGTCCACTTAAGATCTGTCTGCACTTCACTATATGCAAATTTTATCTTTAAGAAACTATAAGCAATTATTAAAGTTTAGGGACTAGAGATGTAGCTTGGTAGTAGGGTGCTAGGTTTCTGCACCCAGTGTCAAAAACAAAAAAACAAGACAGAAAAAACTTTAGGTAACCCAGGCACAGTGGCACACGCTTGTGATCGCAGCACTTGGGAGGCTGAGGCAGGAGGATTGCTGGGAGTTTAAGGCCAGCCTGAACTGCATAGCAAGACTGTCTCAAAAAAAATTTTTTTTATTAAGAAATTGATTAAAGCAAGTACAGCAAATTATTAATGGCAGAATAAGGTTTTGGGTATGTAGGTGTTCACATAAAATTCAAATTTGCTGTATATTTGAAGTAAATAATAAAATGCCACTAAAAAGAAGAGAATTAAAACAAACATTCTGTGGGCTTTGTTTGCATTTTTAATGGAGAAGAAATTAAGACAACTGGGGAAATGTGTATAAGAATTGGATATCAGATGTTACTAAGGAATTAGTTTATTATTGTAGGTATGATCATAACATTGTACTTAAATCTCTATATTCCTAAGGATGTAAGTAAAATACTGCAGGTGAAAAGTGTCTGAGATTTGCTTTAAAAGATTTCAGTGAATGGAAGCAACGATGACACCAGGTAGCAGAAACTTAATAATTACTGACCAGAATCCATGTAATGAGCACAGTGGAGTCTGTACGTTATTCCCTGCAAACTCTAATATGTGCTTGCAATTTTCAGGAAATGAAACTATTTCTGCTTCGAGTCTCAAGGCATTGGCCAGGGCCGTTCTCATCTGGAGGCTTCACCTGAAGACTGCTTTGCGACTCGAGACTCCATTGGGAGATGGCTGCCGTCCTTTTCTTGTGGCTGTATGACCAGGGCTCCCAGCTGCTTACCAGATATTGGGTGGAAGACGCTGGGTCTTGAAGTCCCTGCTGTCCCCTGCCATGAGGCTCTGTCTGCTGGCATTTACCATCATAGCTGCTTCTTTAGAAGCATCCTCATCTAGAGCCTTGGACAGCAGGCAATGATGGGAGTGACAGCCACTAAGGTTTGCCGTACCCTGCATGCTGACAGCAGGCCTCGGGTCCCTCATGTTTGAGAGGAGACTGTAACACCGGGCGTGGAGAGCATGGGCCAACTTGGAATTCTGTCAACCACAGACAGCTCGTAAAGACTCCATGGGGCTTGGGAGGAGATCACGGATTTGAAGGCAGGAAATCCGGTGTCTGCTTCTGCTGTTTACAGTCGTCCCCGATATCTACAGGTGATTGGTTCCAACTTCTCATGGACACCAAACTCTGTAGGTGCTCAAGTTCCTTATAAAAAATGTCCCTACAGCCTTGCAACGTACCCCTATACACTTTAGTTCATCCCTAGGTTGCTCATACTACCTAATAGATGTAGGTCCTCTATAAGTAGCTGTCTGCTATATTGGACAGCACAGGCCTTGATCCATTCGGTGGTCTTAGACACAGGAACAAGAGATTCAGACAGAGTGAGATTCACAAACCTTGAAATGTTGAATCCACTCTGGTAGAGGAGCTAATCTAACCGATGCTTTTCCATTCCAATAGTGAGGAGGCTCCAATGCCACTTAATGCACTATTAAAATGTGTCTAAAAGTTGACTTTTCTCAAGATTTACTAGATGGGCAGATGAGAGTCAGAGAGTCCAGCAGCTCCAAGCCCCCTCTTTTTGTGCTCGAGTTCGTCCAGACACAGTGCCCTTCCTAACCCTGCGTGTATCACCCCACACAACATCCATGCATCCAAGACACGCTGAGCAGCACACACACCTCTTCCAACCCCTTCTGATGAGATTTGAAGCAGGTTTCCCTCCTCGCTCCTGGGTTCCCAGGGTGGCGCACCATGTCGAACAAGTCACCTGCTGCACTGTAATCGTGTTGACAAGTTTCCCATGGCAAATTTGATACGTCCTTGTTACTTTGTCCAGAAAAGGAAAACAGAGGGTCACCCGGAGGAATCAAGCCTGATCTGAATTGAGGGGAAGCGAAGCATGAAGGAGGAAGTGAACGAACTCCCCGAGTGTCGCTAAGAAACGTTTTTACGCAGCTGTGAACGCGTCTTCCTGTTTGCCATCTATTTGGTGAGAAGCGTGGGGAGGGTGGAGGGGGTGGGTGGAGAGGAGGGCGGGAGCGCAGGCAGGAACTGCAGGTGAGTCAGAGCCTTCGGTGACGCGGACCTTGAGGGTAGCGTTTGTTAAGCCTGGAAAAGGGCTGTGTTTCAGCCGTGACTAAATGCTGACATTTAGGTCTCCCCTGTTTCTTCACTGCTTGTCTTTGAAACAAGCACTACAAAGACTTGAAACCAGAACCTCCAGCTGAGAGGGAAGAAGAACTGCAGGGGAAGCTGATCCTGATCACAGTGGTGTAGGGAGAGCAGGATGGGTCAAAACAGCCCTACCAGTGACGACCCCCAGGAGGGTGGAAGGCATCCTGAGGTCTCCTGCTGTCTGTCCATCCTCACTATCCCGGAGATTTCCCAGCTGCACTGGTGCCAGTGATGTTTATCAGTAACATGTACTACGTGCTTCTTCCGATTAGACTAGAAATGTATGTTAGCCATGAGAGGTCTGAGGCAGTGGGAAGCCACACAAGTACATGCGCATGCATGCACGCGAGCGTGCGTGCACACACACACACACACACTCAGGTGTGGGGCTTCTTATTAAACATCATATAGAAGTTAACCTATCCTTATGGTGTACTGCTGAAATCTGCACACAGGAGGCTGAGGCAGGAGGATCACCAGTTTGAGGCCAGCTTGAGCAACTTAGCAAGACCATGTCTTGAAATATACATACATACATACATACATACATAAATGTATGATCAGTGCAAAGGCCCTGGGTCCAATCCAATCCCCAGTGTGTGTGTGTGTGTGTGTGTGTGTGTGTGTGTGTGTGTGTATGGCGGTGATTATAAACAGAGAGAATGAAATAGAAATATGGACTCTTTAAAACAAAGTTGTAAACCCTTCATCAGGTGTTCAGATTTGTCAGAGCTAGTCTTCTATTTTGCATTCTACTTCAAGACAGAATTTCACTCGTGGGATTACTGAATTAAGCTCCCCACCCTCCCAGATTGGGTCTCTCTTTGTAGTTGAGGTTGACCTCAAACTTGAAGTGATACTCCTGCCTCAGCCTCCCAAGTGCTGGGATTACAAGCGTGTGCCACCATGTTCGGCTAAGGTTCTTGACATACACCGCCTCATGTGCTTTTTCTGCACAGGGTGCGCTGATGAGTGGCCACCAGGCACAGGTCTTGGCTCAGGTAGCTTGGTCTGAGAGGCATGGTGGCTGCTTGCTGTGTTTTCAGTGGGTTATGTATGATGTTAATTTTATTCCTTAGACTGTAAGCCACGTTGCTCCTTTCATGAATTAGACCATGTTTTTCTCCTTCTTTCCCCCTTCAGATTTCATGATAAATTCTTAAGAGAAATTGGATTACTAGAATACTGGATTGTTGATTATATTGTTTTGAAAATCCTCACCAAAAATTATCATCATTCTTTTAATTTGTACACATTCCACTCAAATTTCTTGTTTTGGACACAATTTTCAGGTGGCATTAGAAAGAGGCCATTTGTAAGATACTTGTCAATAAATTGAGGGTTTTTTTGTTTGTTTTCTTTAAACAAAAGATTTCCTTAGGAAAGACCAAGGACTTTCCTCCTCTAAGAAAATTGTGGAAGTGAAAATGTTTCTTTAATAATTTGGTTGCCATTTGCATTTCAGAGCAAGATCAAAATTCCTTAATTTTCCTTTATGCAAAGATAAAAATTCTTGCATTTATTTTATTTGTTGACAGTACTGGAGATCAAACCCAAGCCTCACACATGCTAGACAAGCATTCTATCACTGGCTTTCACGCAGGGCAGGACTTCTTATCTTGAAAAGATGCTATACTCATGTTCAAAAGCCAGCATGCTCTGATATTTAATTTTGTCTATATAACATGCAAATGAATGTTATTTCCTAATATTTAAATAAATTTAGCCAGGTGAGCTAGCACACACCTGCGATCTGAACTACCCTGGAGGCTGAGGCAGGAGGATGGCAAGTTCAAGTTCAAGACCCAGTTTTGAACAAACAAACAATGCTGGCAATTTAGGTCAGTGGCAGAGCTCTTGCCTTGCAAGGTGAAGGCCCTGAGTTTAATCCTTGGTATTTAAAACAAAAACAAAAAAATTTTTTTTGTATAAATCATGAAATGCTCCCAAAAAACACAAACTGTGAGGTGTGCTGTAGCTGAGATACCAGGTAAGAACAGGGGAAGTTCCTCACGTCACAGAACTAGAGAAGAGAGGGCCCAGAAGTAAGGCACGTCCTTCATTCCTGATGCAGTGTTCTTTCCACAAAGCCCACTCTCTGATAATTTCTTCATTGAATTATTTTTAATTTTAAACTTCCAAATCAAATAATTATTATTTTATGTATCTATCGGAGCCCTTATCATATGGTAAGTAGGGTTTAAGTAAATGGTGGCAATTCCTACTTTTACTACCTTCACAATATATTTTATCTGACATATCTATTATCAATCAACAGCAGGAACTCTACACATGAATTGCTTCCTCCTCCTCCTCCTCCTCCTCCTCCTCCTCCTCCTCCTCTTCTCCTTTTCCTTCT